GTATAGGCTGAGCAAACTTCCTATGGTCGGGGGAGGCGGGGCAGTGGAGGAACCAGGATTTCCACAGGAAGCGTCAGACAACAGGTGGGGTCTGGGGTGCCTCCAACAGAAAATTTTAAAAGGTAGTCGCAGAGATGGTTATTGAAGCACTTTTGAGACATGTACAGCCTTCATTCGACACGCAGCAATATCTCTTTTAAGTAAACGAATTTAGGAGATTTTGCTCCAAAAATCTAGTGGGCAGTGCCCCCCTTGCCCCTCCCACGCGCAGCTACTGGCCCTGGGGCCCGTTGCTCAGACACAAAATTGTCTTAACATAAGTCTTAACATTAACGTTTTTTCTTAGACATCGACAGAAACAGTTACGAGAAGAAAAACGTAGAGATTCTCATAACAATACGAAACAAATTGATGTCGACGTCTACGAGAAATTGTTATGTTAAGACTAATGTTAAGACAAAATTTTTTTTCGACAACGACCCCTGGAACTGCTTATGTAGTATTCCCACACTATTAATGAGAAATGTTCAGAATGTAAGTACGCTAATTAACCTGTGTAATTAACCTGTGTTAATTACTTGTGTATGAAGCATGTCGCTGTAGAAATGGAAATGAAATTACGTATTAAATATACATGTGTTTACTCCCATATGTACGTTTAGGTACACACCTATATATATATATATATATATAATATATATATAAATATATATATATATAATAAATATACATCATACTATAGAGTACAAACAGAGAATAGAAATTGTATTATGTACTCTTATATATATATTATATATAATATATATACTCAGGAGTAGATAATACGAAGGAGTGTGAGAAGCTAAATAAACAGAGGGAAAATTCGTCCATTAGTACCTACACCTTAAAATACCTACGATTTACTACGCGTAACAATCAGCCAACTTAAGCTCAAATCGAAACAGCAGTGCATTTCCGCCTAGCATCGTGCAGCAATTCGTTTCCCTACGTATACACAAGCAATCCGGCAGATCACAGACAAAATTACGACACGATTTAATCTCTTGGCCATCAAATCCGAGCCGTATTTCCCGCCTATATTTAAACACAAAGGTAGCTAGCTAACCGCTATTGCTTCGGCGAGGGAAGTCGGCTCGCTGGAGACTTAGGCATCACACGGCATGAACGTAACACCCGGCGAAGATAAATTGTGAACCCGGTACACCAGCTACATACCGGCACTACCGGCCAATAGCAGCTGCACGTAACGGCTCACCACGCGACGCACATGCAGCACGCCACCGCAATCATCCAGCATCTCCCAGCGAGCCACATTGCCCGCCGAGTTAGGCATAGCAGCGTATAGTAGCTGCCCTTTGTTTGAATATAGGCGGCATCGGCTCGATTCGTATGGCCACAGAATGGATAACTCGTGTCGTACGTTTTAGGCTGTATCTCCGGCATGCGGGTGTATACGAGGAAACCGATTTCGCACAGTGCTAGCGAATGTACTGTGTAACGATTTGAGCTCAAGTTGGATGAGTTTACGCGTAGTTAAATCTGTAGTAATTATAAGGCTAGTAAATGACGAATTTTCCCTGTTTATGGATCCATTTAATTGACTGTATTATATTTTAAAATTAAGTTTTGAGTTCTTAGATGCCTTATTCATCTTTGTTTGAGTTCTTAGATGCCATATTCATCTTTGTTTGAGTTCTTAGATGCCTTATTCATCTTTGTTTGAGTTCTTAGATGCCATATTCATCTTTGTTTGAGTTCTTAGATGCCTTATTCATCTTTGTTTGAGTTCTTAGATGCCATATTCATCTTTGTTTGAGTTCTTAGATGCCTTATTCATCTTTGTTTGAGTTCTTAGATGCCATATTCATCTTTGTTTGAGTTCTTAGATGCCTTATTCATCTTTGTTT